AAATCTGGGGTTTTCACGGAGATTGGTATGTAATGTGTGGTACAGAGAAAAAGATTTAGAGTATATTATTTCAAATCTTCGCAATATACTCTACTGCGGGACTCTGACAGGAGAAGATTCTGATATCTGTCTCAAAGATATGCATGCTTCACACTTGTACGCCTATAGGGGCATCTATGTCATTTTAGAGATGGGATGGATAGCGAACAGTTACCGGTTGGTATACGCCTAAATTGACAGAAATCGGTTGGTGTGGCTCCTAATTTCCCTAAAATATATAACATTTTTTATTTTTTTATTCACAAAAATAACATTCAGCGAAAAAATTCACAAGGTAGCATTTACTAATTAATAGAAACACTAAATTATCTTAGAGCATCATTAGTAATACCTTTGTTTTTTAAAAAAAAACTAGATTTTGACCCGCGCAACCGCGCGGATGTTTATTTTCGTTTATAGTTAGCTATATAAACATTTTGTTTTCACTTGTAAATTGGTATTATATTATAGTAATCATATATTTACGATATGTATAGTAAATATTTTTGAAACATAATAATATTAGATAATACGTTTTTTAATCAAATAGATTGTTTCAAATTTTTTTATATTATACATTTTTTTTAAAACATATGTTTGTTTCTTCTTCTAAATTTTATTGTTTGTTAGATTGGTATTTCATTTATAGATAAAGTAATATAAATAGAGCTTGATTAAATTTTGACCCGCACAACCGCACGGGTGTTTGTTCTCGTTTATAGTTAGTTATATAAACATTTTGTTTCCACTTGTAAATTGGTATATATTATAGTAATCACATATTTAAGATATGTATAGTAAATATTTTGCAAACATAATAATATTATATAATACATGTTTTAGTCAAATAGATTGTTTCAAATTTTATATATGATACATGTTTTTCAAACATGTGTTTGTTTCTTCTTCTATGTTTTATTGTTTATTAGATTAGTATTTCATTTTTAGATAAAGTAATATAAATAGAGTTTGATTAAATATTAGTATACTTTAATTTGCAAAAATAATATAAATTTCGAAGAAATTTTTACTAAAAACTAAACTTATAGCTTCATAAATTAACATTATAAAGAATTTTATTTAAGAAGATTTTTAAACAATTTCTTTTTCTTTTAAAACAATAGAATTTTAAAAATTTATATTGAAATAAATTTATCTAGTATATATAGCGTGTAAATTCTGTTAGTGTATAGAAATATTCCATATTACGAATCTGTGATTTTTATTGATATATTGTGGATGCATTTAACTATTATTGACACATTTCCTTATAAATAATAGAAGATTATTAAACTTAAATCTATTGTCATATTTTGCGTGACTAAGTTGGAAGGTGTGGGGTAATTTACCAAAAACAAATTGTTAAGCGTATCTTTGTTATTATAGATATGATTTTTCATAAGATATAATAATGATAAAGATTATTAGAAAGTTAATGTAACATGACTTTCTAATAATAGTTCATTTTTTAAAAAATCACACATGAAGTCAAGTCATGACTTCTGTTTTAATATATAAGATGAGTTTCTTAAAATAAATTTTATAATACACATAATATAATTTTATAAACGAAAGTAAAATGTTAAAATTTGCTGGACAAACACATGTAGAATGAAGTTTTTTAAAATGTGGAGAGTTGATTTTTATAGTAAATTTTATAGTGATCAACTTTAGAAAAAAAAAATTCTTATATTCTAACAGTAGTCTTTTATTTTTCTCCTGATACTAATCTTACATTTTAATCATTAAACTCTAAATTCAGATACATAGAACACATTTATTTGTATCCTTTAATGAATATTATTGGGGTGATTTTTTCTGTTCATTAAATAAAATTTGATTTAATTTTATTTGAGGATATTTGTAAAAGTGATTTTAGTTAGAGTATATAAATGATATATGGATATAGTGACATAGTCACCTAAATTAGTACTCCATACTTTTTGGTATGAAACAACTCAAACAAGTTAAACCATTTGATTAAAAAAAAAACGTTGACAAAAAAAAAAAAAGCTAAACCATTTGATTAAAAAGAAAAAAAAACAAGTTAAACCATTTATTGTTGTTTATCATCTTTTACCTTTTAGCAGGCGCAAATCAATGGTCATATCCATTTACGGATTAGAGCAAAAACAAAAAATCAAAAATCTAACAAAAGAAGAAGAAAAAAAGCAGAGTAAACCGTGCAGCCCTGAACTTCGACGCTTTCTCTCGTCTTTGAACCAATCCGTTCAACGTTAGCTTCACCCCCACAGATCCTTCGCTTTCCTCCTTCGATTCCATCGATCACCCAACAGAACCCCCGATCTGCCCCCCGTACTGTTGGATTCTCACGATTTCTAGGGTTTGCGACGAGCCCCTGAGGTACTCGATTTTTTATTTTTATTTTTTATCTTCCCTTTGTTCAGTTATTTATTGAATGCGATTTAGTAGAGTTTGTTTCATTTCGTAGAGTTTGGTGAATGCATTTGTATGTTTCTGGAAATTGATTTGGCGTTTATGATTATTTTTAGAAAGTTTTTGTCTTTTTGGAAATGTAATTCTTCGAGCTGATAATAATAATTAGGGTTTGAGTTTCGTAGTCTGAGTTATTGCGTCTCTGCCTGCATGCATTTAGCTTAGTTTGATATCTACTTGAAATTTGTTTGCTTTCTTGTGTAAATTGGTAACCGTAAACTGAAGAGAGATGATAACGAGTCGTTAAGGCAGTTTCTTTATCGTTGTCTAGTTTTGATTCTTTGTGATTGTGAGCTTGAAGTTTTCATTACACTAATGGGTGCACGTGCCTTGCAGGTTTCAAAAGGTGTACTTGGGATTCTGTAGCTGCTTAAATAATGACCTCTAGCACCACAGGAGATCGAAGGTTCTCTATTATTTTGCACCATACTTGTTTGGTGGTGATGTGCCCTTTTCTTAATATGAAACACTTGTTTCGGATTTGCTATGTTCCAACTACTGTTCAAATAAAATCACTATATGTGTAAACTCTGTGACTGGCTTTTCTTTCCTTGAAAGTACTTGTTTGCTCATCTCGTATTGTGTCATTAATGTGATACCAAATTGTTTTTTTTCTTCTTTTCTGGATAATATAGCAGATGGGGTACGGCAAGAAGAAGTGGGATGACTATATTGGGAAAGGTTGCTGTTCCGAAACCAATTAATTTACCAAGCCAAAGGTATTTGATGAGCGCATGATCATATTTTGTCTTAAAATTATACATTGTTTCGTTTCTGAATACTTCTCTCTTCTAAATTCAAGGCTAGAGAATCAAGGCCTTGACCCGAATGTGGAAATTGTTCCAAAGTAAGTTTATCCCCTGTTTCAGATGCTTTTTTTTCTCATTCTTATTTGTAGTCAAATTGTTACAATAAAATAAAATAAGATATTTTAGTCAAATTTTAGACAATTCAGTTTTCTTCTCGGAATCTATCGTAGGGGAACCCTTAGTTGGGGTAGTAAATCATCAGTGAATGCGTGGGGGACATCATCACTGTCACCACGAACTGAAAGTGGTCCTGGTTCACCAAGCCACCTCAGTAATCGCCCTTCTTCTGGTGGAAGTGTTACTCGACCTTCAACTGCGGATAGTGACAAAGCGCATGATTCTTCTTCTGTTGGATGGGATTCAAACTCCCGGCCTTCATCAGCATCCGGGGTGTTACCATCTAATCAGGCATCAGTTGCACTACAACGTCCACATAGTGCAGACACAAGACCTGGAAGTTCCCAGTTATCACGATTTGCTGAAGCTGTGCCAGAGACTTTTGCAACACGGGGTCAACATGTATGGTTCTTCTCTTTAAAACAGCGTTTACTAGTCGTTTGACTCTGCTGAGCATCAGTTTTATCTACTTCTTTTTTTTTGCTTTATCTTTACATCTATTGAGCGCCCTGTTTGTGGGACAGGGAATGATAATAGCTTTTCTGGATTAGTGATCGATATCTTATCTGATTTTAAGTATAACTGCTGGATATTTCATTTGTGTTTGCTGTAGAAACAAAACTAGGATGCTGGATTTGTCAATTTAGGTCACTTATTCGTTCTTCTATTGAAATAGTTTGTAGTGCGTATGATGATCTGGCAACTTAGTGGCGCATCTTCTGGTTGGTAAAATGGAATTTGATGGAAGTGTTTTCATGAATATTTTGAAAATTTCCATGTCATCAAGTAATTTTTGTAGGATAGCTTTGTACACTTTACCTAACTTTGCATAATCTGCACGTGGATTTATCTTCACTAAAGATTTCTCACCATTTCCTTACAGGGAGTTGCTCCAGCAAAAAAAGATGGTTTTTCTTTGACTTCAGGAGATTTTCCTTCTCTTGGCACTGAAAAAGAAAGTTCTGAAAGGAGCGCAATGCCACAAGGTATCATCTCTAAACAGTAAAAATGTGTCACTAAAAATAATAATACTACAGTCAGCAGTTTCTATGTAAAGGAGGAGAAAATAAATGTTTCAGTTTGTACCGAATTCCACCGTTTACACACCGTCCTTGCTGTCTAGAGAGTGACGTTAGCAAACACAGGTTCATTTTGCAACAAAGTTAAAACCTTTAGGGACTGGGTTTTCTGGCTTGCTGTTAGTTGAACACTCTTATGATCTTAGATGGCCTCTTAATACTTGCCCCTTGAGGGTTTTTGGATTACGTAGATATAATGTGATATGATTTTAGGGAGTGAATGAGTTAGACATTGCTCTTAGAAACTACAATTTTGCAGATGCTGGACCTGGAACTCGTCCTGCATCTTCGTCTGGAAGATCTGCGGAAGAGCGAGGTGTGGATTGCACAGAAGGTTCCTATTTTCAAACCTCTTTTTTCTATTTACCTACGTATACTGGCATTTCATTTCTGTAGTTACTTTTGTTTATAATTGTCTCTATTGAGAGGGGCTATTTTACCCTCATATGTAAGTTTCCTGTGAATTCTTCTTTCTGCTATATCTTCCTTACATATTTTAGTGGATGTTCTATTGGGAACTTTGTCTGACTATATCTTGATTTCTATATGCAGAAGTTAATGCACGGATTGGAGATGACAGTGCCTGGAGAAGAGATAATCAACCATACAGTGAAGATGCACCTAGATATTGTAGAGAGGAAGGGCAATTGGACCCTCGTGGTTCACACTCTTATCCCAATGCGCATTTCCCTCATCAATATGATGCTTGGCGAGGTCCTCCAGTAAATAATCATCCAGGAGGAGGCTGGTATAGAGGGAACCAACCTTATGGTGCTCCAATGGGTCCTGGCGGATTTCATGTGGACCCTTTTCCGTTTTATCCTACGCAAGTTCCACCTGTTCCTGGACATGAGGCTGGTCCTCGGGGTAGTCACGCTATTAATGAAAAGATGTTCAGGCCTCCAATGCTTGACCCTTATGTCCACCCAAGGCCTGGGTTTTATCTTGGTCCAGTGCCACGTGAAGGCTACTATGGTCCTCCCATGGGGTATGGCGGTCCTGGCAACAGAGACCTGCCTTTTGCAGGTAGGCCTGCTGGTCCTCATGCTTATCACCATCACTCTGGTCAAGGTAGATATGATACGTCTGCAAGTTCAGTGGCTTTGGAACGGAATGAGCCACCACATTCTCAAGAAAGACAATACAAGATTCTCTTAAAGCCCCAAGATGAGAGGTTAAAGGAAGATGAAGCAAAGCGGGAAGAATTTCTAGGAAATAGGCCCCGGACTGCAGAGAAGGTAGCTCCACAGATGCAAAATTCAAAAAACAACAGGAGAGTAAACAACAATGAGGCAAGTGGGGAGGTACAACCAATTAAGGCAGAAAATGCTGCTCGCGAAGATCCCAGTTTGATTCAGAAAATAGAGGGCTTAAATGCAAAAAGTGCATTCACTTCTGGGACCCCTGCAAATAAAGTTTCAGCAAGAATGCCTCGAAGTCATGAAACTGATAGTAAGAACTCATTACGGTCTAAACAAGGTGATCCTCCCACCAACAAAAACGCTGAGCTGGCAGCTATTAGTGGAATATCGGTGGAGCCAAACGACAACCAGGTATAAACTAGTTCATGTGATTGTCATTGTTGTACTTGCTTCTTTTGTTTGTTGTCATCCTTTCGTTCTTTTACTGAGTGTTTGACGTGTTCTCTTAAAAGCGTACTACGATGAGAGAGTTAGCCAGGGAGCGTGCTCAACAGAGGCAGAAAGAAGAGGAAGAACGAGCCAGAGATCAGCGGGCCAAGGCTCTTGCAAAACTAGAAGAATTGAACAGACGTTCCCAACTGGCTGAGGAGGGTTCAGTCAAGAACTTGGAAGCTGCGCACAGTGCTTCTACCCCTACATCACGGGAGAAGAAGACCACACTTACAGCTGCAGATTCTATAGAAGCTACTGAAGATCCAGGAAAAACGTTACTGCAAGACGCGATGCCTTCAACAGACTATGCAAATAATGAGGGCCCTACTCAACATGATAACCTTCAACGTCACCGTGATGGCGCTGCCTCAAAACAGAAGCGCTTGGGCTATAAACAGAAGCAAAATATCGTATTTGAGAAAAAGTTGACGGAGAGTTCTTTCTCTGAGGCTACCACAGAGGTGGTTGATGTTGTTCCACCTCCTGAGGTGTCAAACGAAGGTGTTCTAGGTCTTAACTCAGACATGCCAGCAGCGTCAAGCGTTTCAACCGAGTTAACTTACACGAAAAGCAAAAATAACAGGAATGGTAAGAAAAAGCACAGGGTTGAAGAGACAACAGCAATGAACCCGACAAGTGCTGCCGTTGGAAAAGTTTCAAAATTCGGAGATGAGTCAATTGAGACTGGTAGGGAAAGAGCAGCAGAAATAGAGTTTGGCTCTTTTTCAGTCCCAAGCTTGGATGTTAAAGTGTCTGGTAATTCGTCTGACCAAATCAGTTCCTTCACGAATGAAGAGTCGCAAAGCAGAGTAAAAAACAACTGGAAATCTCAGCAGTTGCGTAGGAATCCAAGAAACTCAGTGGTAAATAAGCCAGCAGAGAAATTTCCTGGTAGCAGTACTGTTATTTGGGCCCCGGTACACCCACAGCAGAAAGCTGATATCTCCACAGGTGTAGGCAGTCAGAACACTGTTCCTGAGTTTAGCACCTCTTCGAAGAGTCTGCATCAAGGACAGACCAGTTCTAAAAGCAAAAGAGTGGAGATGGAGAGATATGTAGCAAAACCCATAGTAAAGGAAATGGCTGAGCAAACCGTTAGTAAGAATCCAATAACCGCTGCCTCAGAAATGAAAGAAAATTGTGGGGGTGAAGGTACAGGAATTCTCCAACATTCTGGTTCAACTGCGGGAAAATCTGGGTCTCCTTCAAAGTCAAGACATGGGAATGGAAGGCAGGGCAAGCATGGTAGAGATCATGGACCATGGAACCAGCGAGGTTCTGTAGCATCTACCAAAGGTTTGGAGGATGGACAATTTCGAGGAACGGTGAATAATCACAGAAGTAACCAAACTGATCAAGTTGCTGTAGGCTCTTCTAAGGATCACACCACAGGTAATGCTGATGGATGGAACGATGGCTGGTATATGCCTTCTGAAACGCATTACTCTGCGGCTAAAGAAGTAGAAGCAAATGGTCCTGGAACCGTTGCTGTTGGAAAAGATCAGGGAATGAGCATTCACGGTAAGCAGCATGCTTCCAGAAGCAACAAGGATGGAGGAAGTAACTATAACGACCCTAAAAAAGCGAATAAGAGGGATTCCAGTAAAGCTCATGTGCACCAGTCTGGACATGGGATAGGTCAACAAGATCTGCCTGTTGCTTCAAAAGAAAGTCGCGGCCCTGAGGATCATGTGTCGCACAGAGCTGCTACCCCTAATGTTGGTAGGGGAGGTAACCATGGTGGTCGTGAATATACGAGGGACAAAACTTATGCATCTCAGAAAAGGGATGTTGCTGGGTACGGACATCAAAGGTTTGCTTCAGAACAGAAAATGGCATCAGCTGATACACCAGCCCAGTCTCAAAACCGATCTACTAGTACGGAGGTCCAGGGTGAGCATAATCCGAATAGCATGTTCCGAAAGAACACAAACCATCATAGCCAACGGTTTGGAAGAGGGCATCATGACACACAAGGAGGTTGGGGTTCATCTCCCCAAGAGAATATGCACCATCACAATCAGAGGCCACATTCAAACAGAGATAGACAGAGGCAGAATCTGCATTACGAATACAAGCCTGTTGGTTCACATGCGCATGACGGAGAACAGCAATTTAAAGACGGATCTCAGACGGAAGGTCCACCAAGATACAGGGAGAAGGGACAGGGCCAGCAAAGGCATGGTGGACAAAAGATGTACCAACAGGAAAGGGGTAGTGCTGGGAGAAACAGCTTTCACGGATTAACAGATGAGAGTAACTAAGATTTGGCCTCTTTGTTATTATAGGTAGTAGTAAGAGTTGCGTTGCTGAGGCCTGTTGCATTTTGAGATATGGCCATTGAAGGAAGCTATTATTTCGTAGGCAGGCACATAGTTTTTGGGTGCTTGCAAAGGAGGAGTTTGGTATTGGCAGATAACAAAGTCTTTGCTCGAGGGGTTTCGTTTTTTTCATGTATGTTAGTCACTTATTTGAATATGCATCTCATCAGCATTAGCGTTTTGGTATTACACTTGCTGGCAGTTGGACTGACTCTGTTTTGTTAAGCCGTTGTTGGTTGTTTGTTTCTCCTTTGTTGTCGGAGTGCGGGAACCATCTAACATGACCTACTTTTCATTTGGTTCAGTTCCTTTTTTCTTAGAAGCTGAAACTTATCATTCTGGTATCAATATATTTAGTTAGTACAAATACAAAATATTCGAGAGTTAGAAAATGATAAAATCCTTGAGCAATAAGCAGGATTGTAGGGTTCAAGCAATAATACCATGGCGCATGAATATCCTATGCCTGAATACCCATTATATCACTGAAATAATGTTTGTAACAAAATGTTCTCAGATGCTAAAGATGGTGACGACATTGATAAAATGGCCGGTTTTCACTATGCACATGGGAAAATCTCTACGATGTAAAAAGTACTTCTCTAACTTTTGTGATCTAACACAATGGTTGGCAAGTTTGTAGATGGTGCTTGCCTGCTTGGACTCACTGTTCAACTAAGCTGTATGTTGATTTTATTTCTTTTATTTTTAGTTTTTTTTGTCATCGACATTAAAATAAAAAAATAAAAAAAATGTTGATTATTTTATTGAAGTGGTTTTCGGCTATTTTTATTTGGGTCAAAAGTGACTTTGGGTTTAAAAATATAATTAGGGTTTAACTTTTCTTGAAAGATGTTATTTTTCCGTTTCGCAAAGAATGTTTTTAATTTTTTTTTTACTGAGAGTATAATTTTGTATTTTCAGTGTAATCTATACTATTACTTAAGAAGTAAATTTGTTTAGTTGTCATGTTCTCTATAAATTGAGGTAATTTTGTATATTTATCATATTTTTAATATTTATATATAATTTATTTATAAATAAAACAAATTTATATGAATATATCATATTTCTAGAAAATAAGATAATTCTTGTGAATGATGTTGTTATCTTGAAATATATTTTATAAATTAAACTTAAATTTTAAATTAAAATATAAAAACTATTATATTTATCTAAAATAATTTAATATTTAAATATAATTAAAATGAATTTATATTAACAATTTAATATTTAAATATAATTAAAATGAATTTATATTAATAATTTAATATTTTTCTAAAATAATATAATCATTATGGATTATGTTGTTATGTTGAAAATATATTTTCCTATTATAAAACTTAAAATTAAGATATAAAAATTATATTATAATAATTAAATATAAATCATAATTAAATATAAATCATCAAAAAAATATTTGAAAGTCATAATAATATATAATTAACAAATAAAAATTAACTGAAATTAAAAATAATTGTTAGCATGAAAAACTAGGATAAAAATTAAATAACATAAAAATAAATTGAAAAATAATAAACATAATATAATATAACCAAAAAGAATACAGAGAGAAGTAATTTAGCTTATGTGTCATCTTCTCCATAACTTTATAATAGTTTATTAATTTTAGTAATATAATTATTTTAAAAATATTATAATATATGTATATATATATATTTATTGTGATACTTGTGATAATTAAAATAATAAATTAAAACCAAAATATTATATAATTAAGAAATAACAATTAAATGAAACTAAAAATAACTAGATTTTGACATGCTCAACCGAGCGGGTGTTTAATTTCATATATATATATAATTAAATAATAATATTCATATGTTTAAATTTTTTTTTTGTCAACCAAATGTTCATTTATTTATGCTTATTAATTTTAAATAATATATTGTTGTATACACACATATATATATATATATATAAATTTAAGATATGCTAATTTGTATACATGTATTATATAGTGTACTATGTTAACCCGTTTTGACAACATATTATATTATTTTAATATATATATAATACTTAGGAATCAAAATATATTAATATATCATGTTGATATAATTTTATCATATTTAGCTCAATATAATAACTATTTTAATAGGATATATTATGATTATAAAATAAATAAAAAATATGATAAAATTTTATTTTTCATTTTATAAATGATACTGATTTTATTATTATATATTAAGGTATAATAATATTTTTATTATTAATTAGGATATTACTGAATTTATTAGATTTTTAAAATGAAAGTCATCAAAAGATCTCAAAAGATATTATAATCAAAATAGTTACAAAGATTTTATATTATTAGTCTTAAAGAATTACATTTATAAATTTGAAAGGGAAGGTCTAACTAAAATATCACACATTACCAAAAATCATGACTTCTATTGTAATCAAATAGATGAAAATATTTACATAAAACTTTTAAAGTTGAGATCTTGTTAAAAAAAAAACATAACATAAAAATGGCGATGACATTGTATCACTGAAATAATATTAATGATAAAGTGATTAAATGTGATGAATCTGTAGTAGATATTCCAAAATTAATTTTTAATTATATTATGATAATTTAAACTTTATGAAAGAAGAAGAGAAGATATAAATACAATACTATTAATATGTCACTAATAGTAATAAATAAAGTCCACCCAATTTTGTCTATAATTCACCACTTTCTTTGCCACACATAAAATATTATGTAAAAATATAATATAAGTCATGATTTTTTATGTGTGATTTTTAATTTGAACCATCTTTATAAAATTTATAATATTTTATACAGTTTAATTATAATATCTTTATCTGTATTTGAAATACAAAAAATATTTTAAAGAATATTCTAGCAAAATATTTTTAAATATTTTTAAATTTTATTTCCAAATTAATTAATTTCAATATTAATTATCATTAAAAGTAATTAGTAATTAAATGTAAATTTCGTTTTGATTATAAATAATTATATAAATATTTTAATAATATTTAATGATAATAACAGTTTAAATTGATTAATTTTCAAAAATGCATTACATTGTACATAAAGAATATTGATTTCATGACTTATTTTATGTGTGATTTTTTTTTTAATTTATACCACTTATAAATCCTAGCTTTAAATATGTCTATCATATAACATTACAACTAGAGTTTCACCCGCATATTCGTGCGGGTATATTTTTTATTTGATAAATATATAACTAAAAATTTTAAATATATGATTTATATTTTAGCTTTAACTATAATTATATATAATAAGTAAATAAAGAAATACTTATTTTATAAAAAAATATTTAAATTTTTGGTAAGATCTTGTTAGATTTTTTCAACAGATTTTGTTGTATTTAAATTCATTTATTATTAATATATTTATTAATTATTAAGATATTTTAAAAATAATATATATTTGACTGGTTAATGTAACAATCAAAATATGTCAAATTAAATAATTAATGACATGGTCCAATATTCTAAATAGTAGATAAATTTGGTACTTCTCTTTTAATATAGAAGATTTATGTCATTCATTTTTAACACAAACTAAGAGCATCTCCAAAAGACTCTCTATAACTTCAAATATATAGTTTTTTGCTCTCCAAAATTGAATTTTATAATAGAAAAATATATTTTTAAGATAACAATTTAATACAAAATAATTAACATATTTTCGAAAATATAATATGATTAATATAAATTCGTTTTTATTAAATAATAAATTTTATATGAAATTATTTAAATAAAGTAAATAAACAAATTTACCTAAAATTAAGGAGAAATTGACAACTAAGCAATATTACTTCTCAAATAATAGTATAGATGATAAATCATTTATTAGGGCTTTATTTTCTGTTTTATTAGAATTCTAAAAAATATTTTCGATTTTTATTTCAGAATTAAAAGTGATACTTATTTTGGAATGTGCAGAATAGAATTTAATAATATTATATATAGTATAATGTATAATTTCAAAGCTATTATCATATTAGAAAATTATTTTGTGTTGTGTTGTCTTTTGTTTGAATATGATTAATTGGGTTTTACACAGTTAAATGTTATAATTAAGTTTTTTTTAATGTACAAATTGAATAATAGAGTATTTAATTCAAATCATATATAAAACTATATTAGGTAATTTAAAATTTATCAGATATTAATATTTGGTTATTTAATGAATATTGTTTGTTCAAATCTTCTAAAGATCTCTTCAAAATAGTATAGATAATTAAAAAAATTTAATATTTAATATAATTTAGTGTCTTTCATTTGTAATTATTGAAGAAAATTAAGGGTTAATTCAAAATTGTACTTCAATTTTAATAATATAAATCAATTGATATCTATTCATTTTTTAAAATCTAGTATATTTAAAAAAAGATTCTAAAAGATTTTGTTATAATTCTCTTTAAAATATTTATTTTATTTCAAATAAAAGAAAATATATCAAAAGATATTGTAATTATGTTATGTAAAATGTTATTAAGATATAAATTTTAACATTACTTTCTAGGAATGATTTATTTTTAAAAATATCATACATGAAGAGAAATTACTTCTCTTTTAATATAATACTAGATTTTGACCCGCTCAACCGAGCGGGTTTTAATTTCTTTTATATATATTTGTTTACATTATTATGGGTATATATATTTTTAATATTAATCACATATTTAAATATTTAATAATTTTTATTTTGTTTTGTCAACCAAATGGTTATTTGTTTATGTATATTAATTTTAGAAGATATATTGTTGTATATATATATATATATATAAATTTAAGATATATTAATTTGTATACATGTAATACATAGTATGTTACCCATTTTTGACAACATAATATATACTAGATTTTGACCCGCACATCCGTGCGGGTATTATTTATTTTATAAATATATAGCTAAAAATTTTAAATATATAGTTTATATTTTATTTCAATTAAATTTAATTTAAAATTATATTTAATAATGAAAGAAAGAATTACTTGTTTTATATAAAAAAATATTTAGAATTTTTGGTAAGATATTGTTAGATTTTCTGAACAGATTTTGTTATATTTAAATAGATTTATTATTAATATCTTATTAGTTATTAAGATATTTTTAAAATAATATATATTTGATTAGTTAAGTAACAATCAAATATGTCATATTAAATAAATAATGACATAGTCCAATATGACTTTTAAATAGTAGATAAATTTGGTACTTCTCTTTTAATAGAGAAGATTATTTTAACATAAATATTTCTATTTATGAAAATAAATATATTAATATATCATTTTAATTTAGTTTTATGATATATTTCTATTTGATGATAATTAAAATTTGAAATAACTGATTTTCGAAATATATTTCTAAAAGATTGCAAAAAGATTTTGTTTGAATCTGTTTCCAAATATTTATTACATTTCCAATTAAAATAAGATATGAAAAGATATCATAATTAATATATGTAAAATTTATAAAGATGGTCCAGACTAAAAATTCACATAAAGTGAAATGGCGACTTCTGTTTTAATATATAAGATTGGAGAGAAAAATATTTAATGCATAAATAAAAAGTAAAACTATCAAAATAATTAATATCTCAAGATATTATGAGTAGCTCTTAATTAATGTTGCTTTTGTTCTCATAAATGTTTTTAACTATATAGGGTTTTACTTAGCGTTGTTTTGGCTGTCTTGTTGAAAAAGCCAATAACAGAGAAAAAGTCCCATAAATCTTGTTGAGAAAGTCAAATTCATTATTAAAAGCTTTAAATGAATTAAATAATCAGCTAAAATATCAATCGTCTCGGTATATAAATATAAACGCGACCGTCGATATTCTTTGTGTTCACGATATAAGCGGATTACTGGTAACGCTAATATCTCTTCAATTACCGATTCTCTGATCGTGAGCGATGGATTCTTCTACTTCTCTCGTCGTCAAGGTTTGCGATCGTGTCGATCTTCGTATTTGTTCGCTCTAGGTTTACGAGTATTGCTGTTGCTTGTAATCTCTCTTTAATTTTTTTGAATTTTTTTACCGATCGACTGTGTAACCGCCGGTAAATTGAAGCGGAGATTCGAATTTACTCTGTTAGTAGCCTAAACCCTAAAAATTTACACTAAGCACAGTGCTTAGGCTTTTTATAAAGAATTATTGTTTAGTCGAACGCCTAGAGTGACTTTTTTTTTTTTTAAATGGATTTTTCGTTCGCTCATATCAGAATCATGTTTTGGTTTTCAAAACTAATACTATAGTGATTGATCGTGATCGCGACGGTTGTTTGGAACTTTTTAATTCATTCATGTGAGATATTTTCTGTTTTGTGATGTATTGCAGGTGAGCTATGGAGGTGTGCTTAGGCGATTCAGGGTGCCTTTCAAAGCTAATCGACAGATTGATCTTGACATGGTTACTCTCAGAGGAAATATTGCTTCTCTGTTTAACCTCCCTCTTGATGATGGTTTCTCTCTGACTTACTCTGATGAAGATGGTGATGTGGTGGCCCTGGTTGATGATAATGACCTCTTTGATGTCAATTGTCAGCCTCTTAAGTTCTTGAAGATCAATGTTGAGTCCAAAACTGGTTCGCCAACAAAATCTATTGCTCCGGAGAGCCGTGGTGCATCTCCGGGTAGCAAAAACCCGGTTTCGGTGATCCAGAAGGGTGTAAATGATGTTATGAAGGCTGTACCGAACCCGATTCGTGATAGTATATCAAAGGTGTATATTGATCTTACTTCTGAGGCGGCGGCTTCGAGCCCTGTAGTTGGTGAGCTGTTTGATTGCATCTCCAAGCTGGGGAAACTCTCAGTTGCTCAGGAAGGTACTCCTTCCCCTCCTGTTACTAAGCCTGGTTCTTCCTCGAGCAGGGAAGTTCCTGTTGCTGGTGAAAAGAAGGATGTCTCTAAGAAGAAACCTGCTAATAATCCCTATGAACGCACTGGCGTTGCTGATTCAAAAACTCGTGGAAAGGGTGCTAGTTTCAACGAGTGTCCTTTCAGTGGCGGTACCGTAAATTACTACGGTCCAAATCCAATGTACCTCAACAAGTATCCAGGTGATTACTGGACCCCACCGGGCCTCTTCCATAAGGGCATCCAGTGTGATGGATGTGACGTTGTTCCAATAACCGGGCCTAGATTTAAGTCTAAAGTGTAAGGAGGTCTTTTACTTGTTTTACTTGCTAGTGTAGAAACTACATACAGATCTTAGAATTTGTATTAGCTTATTTGTTTCTCTGTTCAATGTTTTGCAGGAAAGAAGACTACGATCTCTGCAGCATCTGTTATTCGGTGATGGGTAACAAAGGAGACTACACGAGAATTGATATACCCGCCTCAGTTAAATATCTACCTTCCTCTAGAGGAAAACCTACCCCAGTATTGCTCTTCTCTATGTTTGAGATTCATTTTTGCTACGTTGTCTCTTTTCTCAACTATAGCTTTGTGGAAATTTTATCTTACTTTTTTTCTTTTCGTATAGTTTTCAAAACCGTTCCCTGTGCAGCAGCAACTACACTTTGGACTTGGAGACTCGAATTTCAAGTGTACTTGGCCTAAACTAGACAGTATCTTTGTTCTGGATGTGAGTGTACCTGATGGAACAGCTGTTGATCCATCTGCTCCATTCACTAAGATTTGGAGAATGAGGAACAATGGATCAGTGGCGTGGCCGCGTGGCACACAGATAGCCTGGATTGGTGGCTACAGATTCAGCAACTCGTTCTCCGTTGATTTACAGGTTTAGATACTATTTCTTTTGTTTTGCCATTCTTCTCCCACATCTTAAGTTAACACTTGAAGATCAACTATGCTGTTTAAATTACTCTTGAGTTACTTGAGTTAGCTTTCCTCTTTGCGCAAAGTGGCAATAGTGTTCATATGTATATAATTTTATTTAATACTAGTTGTTTACTCGTCTGAACATCACTTGCAGATTCCAGAGGAGGGTGTGCCTACCAACAGTGAGTTTGATGTGAAAGTTGATTTGTTTGCACCAAAGACAACTGGTCGCTACATTTCCCATTGGATGATGGCTTCATCTACTGGTGTTAAGTTTGGACAACGTGTTTCGGTGTTGATATATGTAATTACGAGATCTATCTTTGCTGCTCTTTTCCAATAAATCTTTGTTTTCCTCTATCAAAATGTCTTTGATACTTTTTTGTTTTGTTGGTTGCGTGGTCAGGTTGATGCAGCGGTGAAGAGATATCCTTGCCTGGACTTGAATGACTTTCCTGTTGAAAGATTATCACGAGAATCTGCAGGAAACAATGTGAATCAAGAGCCAGCTCAAACTGGCAGCTCCAGTGCTAACAATTGTTGGGCAATGAAATGTTTTGAAGTAGAACGAGTAGCTGCTGAATCACAGATCCCAGAAAAAGATGACCTGCTGGTTGGTAAAGTTGATCCTGTTATCACTAACACACTTACTCCATCTTCATCTTCCTCATCATTCAACATGGTTGAGCTCCCAAATATGCCTACTGTTGAGACCTTGGGAGGTGGTTCCTCATCTACAAAGGACGTCTCTGTTCCTCTTCAAGAGGATAAAGAGAAGAACAACGTCATGATAACAATGCTCAAGGAGCTAGAGGAAATGGGTTTCAAAGAGACTGATTTGAACAAGGAGATCTTGAGGGAGAATGAGTACAACTTGGAGCAATCTGTTGAGGCCCTTTGTGAAGTTGGCGAGTGGGATCCAATCCTAGAGGAGCTTCAGGAGATGGTAAGTGAACCAATTTTTGAAAATTTAAGATTTGAAAACCAGACTGAGGGATGTTAAGAATGTGAAAAAAACTTTTTGCCAGGGGTTCGGTGATGATGTGACGAACAAGAGGCTACTGAAGAAGAACAATGGAAGCATTAAAGGCGTGGTGATGGATCTTCTCAATGGGGAGAAGGACTGAAGGAGGCTTGAGTGTGTTTTTTTCTTATAAATAAATAAAACCTGATGAATGATTATTATGTAGTGTGGTTGTGTTTGCGTCGCTAACATCGGACCTATTTGGTATGTTCCTTTGCTTTTTTTTTTTTTTTTGGTGTTGGATGGATGATATTTACTATTTGAAATAAGTATTAAAATCAAGACTTTATGCTTTCTGTCTTCTTATTTCGATTTATTTTAGGAAATCCTTTCAGATTAGTAAAAAAGAAGAAAAAATGCATGCTTAAACATGTAAATCTTTCCTAGTTTGAGCTAAAGTATTTCATCTTCTCCAACCTTTTTCTTTTAAGAGAAACTTTACCTAAGAGCCTTACATCAGGCCATCATCAAGATGGGTAAAGATTGATACTCTTAAGAGGAATTAGGAGAGAACTAGTGAAAAAGGAAACCATAGACTAGCCAAACAGGATTGGGATGAGTTTGGAAAGGTCAATATAAAAAGATTCAAGCCAAAAAGAAGATAAATGACAGAACGTGAAGAGTAGCTTCGACCTGACTTGAAATCATGACGTCATAAAATTTGTAAACAATTAGTTAAAAGTACTACTAGTATATGGAGATGAAATATAAAAACTAAAAAAGCTTCGTTTTCTCCCAAGCACACAAATCGAGCTCGCTATCTTCGCCATGGATTCCAATGCTGGCAGCTCCGTAGCTCGCCGGCGTCATCATGTTTCCTCTTCGTCTTTCTATTTTAGTTTTCTCTTTGCTTATTTTGTCAATTTTTTTCAAGTTTGTCTTCTGAACTTTGGTTTCTTTAGTTCCTTTTTTTTGCATGGCTGTGCAAGATGTCGTAGGTGCCATATTGTTTGGGGAAAGTTTCACTCAACCCTATTTACTGCCCAATAAAAAAGGATTTCGGCCATCTTAAAAGAACAACAAATTGAATGGCCTGTAAACCGGTCCGCCAACAATTCGATCCAGCCAAACTAGGTTAGGTCGAGAAGCCCTAGGTCAAGACAAAAAGGAGTATAAAGAGAAGAGAAAGGGCAATGAGAAGAGAATCCAAACACTTTATACTCATTCCGACAAGCTTTAGGGTTTATCTCTTAGATCTAAACTCTTGTAATCTCGTCTTCATTCTCTTTTTCGTTCCCAACCACTTTATACTCATTCCGACATTCAATAAGCGTCTTCCTAAAACCCCCACAAAATAAATACTTAATCGTTTAACCTACGTTCAAATCGGTAAATAATTCCAAACTAAATTTTTGACCTGCACTTAAAAAGCGCGGGTACCTTCTTATTGTTTTATCTACAAATGGATCGATTAGTTTTTTGCGTTGATGATATAAAATGTCATTATCTAATATAACTTTTTTAAAATTAACACATATTTTAATTTATTGTTATCATCAATATCTAAGTAAATGTATTGTATGTAATTGTGTAGTTTTATTTTGAGAAAATAATATCAACTAACTACGCCTGGTGCTGGGAAGCGAGTCAAACTCGGTCCGCCCAACCCGCCTTACCCGCAAAGAAAATATATTTATCCGCATCCATTCCACTTAATTTTTCGGGTAGACCACGAGACCCACAGATAATTATTAAATAATAAAAATAATTATTTTTTATTTTTTTTCTAAAAGATAATAATAAATAGTATATTTTTAATTAAAATTTAATACTTCTTTTTAAAAATAATTATTTTTAAGAAAATATAGTATATTTTGAAAAATAAACTTAAAAAGAAAATTCTGTTTTTTGCGGATTATCACGTACCCGCAATTGAAATTAGAACAATCCACACATGTTCCGCATAAAATACATTTGACCCGCAGCTGCACCCGCAACTTAATTTTTTCAAATCGATCTTTCTATTCCATGGCGGATCAAACAGGGTGGGACTCACGACTAATATCAAAATTCCGAGCTCTAACTACACCAATTAAGGCTGATGAGTTTATTTTTGAAAGAAACTTCAGAAATAATTAGAAGGTAAATTTAACACATTAATGAAACTCATTAGTATATAGTTTTAGGTCCAGAAAAAGACCAAATTGCCATTAATAAAAAATTAATTTTGTTCATAAAAATAAGGGTACAATTAAAAACCATAAAAATTCATTAAACAAAATGTTTTTGTTTTAATGGTATTGATGATATCTCGTCAACAGAAGAATCAGGTTTCGCCGAACTCACCACCCGTGATCATCGGGAGTGCTTCCGCTATACGTTCAAGACTGAAGCCGTCCCAAACTTCCTGGCCGCTCTGAACAATGCAACGAACCTCCTCAGCAACTTTCGCCGGACAATGCCGCAAATAAGAATGACGAACTGTGGCGAAGCAAGACAGCCCATTGTCAATATTTAAGAAAGAGAGAAAGCAAGCAAGCAAGCACCACGACATACCTGCGTCAACCGGCCATAGAACGCAGAGATTCAATGGCAGATCCTCGAAGGCCCTTTTGTCTAGCTTCACACAAATATAATTGCGCTACCACTCGTGCGTCTTTGTAGGATGACCGGTCACAGCGTTGTTCTTCGGCTTCATCTTGGCGTAAATATATCCCGTGGAGTTGGTTTTAATCGACAGTGAGCACAACTCCTCGTATGTCTGAACGCTCAGGACAATTCCTAGCTCGGCATCTTTCACCATTAGGGCGACCGCGAGCCGAACTGATCCCGGCATCAGCTGCGAGAGTGGTATGTCGCACCTTAGTACATATGCCGAAATCAAATTTGGAATGGGGAACCAGAGCTTCACGTGGTCCTTGAACCATGATTCGTAAATGCACGCGTAGCCGACTGGCGGGGACCACGGTCTCATGTATTTTTGGGGGATGATGAACGTCAATCCCGGGCTCCCGATCGGGAGAGTAAAGCGGGCAGCGTCTTGATCGATGATCGCGACGTGAGAACGTTAGGCCAGTCCTGTCCACCCATCTTGGATGGCCGAAGAAGATTTTCCGATAGTGCCGGCAGCTTGAAAAAACTTCCATCTTCGCCGAGTTCACATGGGCAAATCGGGGTGAGAAGATCGGCATCCGTCGTGTTCTCGTTCTTCGGCACTCTTTTCTTCTCCTTCCCGGGCACAACGTGGCGCCTTGGTGGACGAATCCCATTATTTTTAAACGTCGAGATGCCATCCCCCGCATCTTTTCTCGTTTCTGCCTCTCTGGCCGAGGGGACTGGCTCTGGCTCCACGCTCCTCGGAGCGGTGCCGGTTCCCCCAGCTAACCTGTCTCGTAGAGCCTGCCTCTGTAGTATGTCTTGCTCAAACATGATCGCGGCAGTCGCTTGTACGTTCTTCCGGTGCAATTGGAGCTCTTCAGTCTCCTCGTCGGGCAACGCCACCCTTTTTCCAATGTCGAATGCTTTATCGGCGAGATCGTCGGATTCACCTATGTTCGGTTCCTTGCCGATCTTCAGTGATCCCGGTGCTCTGTTCATCTTTCTTGAGGACGACGCAAAAAGAAATAGGGAGAGAGGAAGGTAGAGAGAATAAGAAAAGGAGAAACTAAACATAAAACGAATCCTCCCTCCCCTTTTATAAACCGAAAGAACGCAGGAAACGAGGAGTCGCGATAATGACTAAAAGTACATGTCGCCCTAGTCCCATCACGGAACAGTCTGCCGACACGTGTCCATCATCCACATCGATAGTCCTCGACGAACAACACGCGGTCAGGTACAGGCAGATCGGCCAAAAATCAGTCTTCATAGGACGAATTCCCAAAAACAATTCGTCACCCACATCCCGGCTCATGTCGTTAACAAACTGGGGGGGCTTACTGTTTGGGAAAAGTTTCACTCAACCCCATTTACGGGCCAATAAAGAAGGTTCTCGGTCCATCTTTAAAGAATGACGAATTGAATGGCCTGTAAACCGGCCCGCCATCAATTCGGCCCAGCCGAACTAGGTTAGGTCGAGAAGCCCTAGGTCAAGATGAAGAGGAGTATAAAGAGAAGAGAGAGGGCAACGAGAAGAGGATCCAAAAATTAGCCTCCAGAGACTGACGGCAAGCTTTATGGTTTATCTCTTAGATCTAAACTCTTGTAATCTCGTCTTCGTTCTCTCTTTCGTTCCCGAATACTTTGTACTCATTCCGACATTCAATAAACGTCTTCCTATAACCCACGAAATAAATACTTAATCGTTTAACCTAAGTTCAGATTAAACACATATCCAAGCCAGTTGGCTCTTGTTTCTCACTTGCAGTCCACCTCCGTTTGTCACAGCCGCAATCTTATCAGATCTGACTTGTGATTACTGTGCTGGTACTGCTACTCCTCGTTCTCGGACGAAAGTGCGACTATCAGATCTGTGTCTCTCTTCGTCCTCTTGGGCGTTGACCTCTCTCCCTACGGGGAAGATCTACTATTTCTTTCATTATAGTGAACGAAGCCTCCCTTTTGGTGTTTCCCAAGATTCATCCGTCAGATCTACGAGCCGTGGTTGCTCTGCACTCATACCGGCAGTACCGTTCACAACTACAAAGACCGGTGTTTGCTCTCAGTTTCATAGCAGTACAGATTCAGGTGATAAATGGCTTAACTCTGGTTTCATGAACACGCTCTAGTTCCAATATGGTAATACTGGCGTCGAGAGTCTGTTCTTGGCCAGGTTTTCCTTTCCGCCAAATCTCGTCAAGATGTTTTGTTATTCCGCCGGTGTGAAGGTGGCTAGGTCTGCATCGTCATATTCATTTGCTCTCCACCGTCTATTTAAGAACGAGGTACCTTATCAGCTAGCTTTATTTCAGATGTTTCTAGAGCGGCATCTGCTAGCTATTTCAACCTCAAGACAATGTTCAGTATCATCTCCAAATCTGAGTCTCTTAAAGCTCCAATCAAGTAGTCCTTTAAATTTATCCTTTATGGGTGAGTTTATTCAAATTTCCTCTCGACAGGACCGAGAGAGATTTTCATCCACCACTTTCCTGTTACAGGAGAATTTTTTCGCCATTGTCCCTCTTTGTAAGAGGTGATCCTCATCCGGTATTCAAAACCGAGAAAAGTTACCAATATCTTAACCGTTTGCTATCTTATGTGCAGGTACACTTGGGGTCGGTAGATGCAACGATTTTCATTTCTATGAGAGTCGAGGTTTTAGATGGTGTTGCGACGTCACATTTTATTGTGACTAATCGTGTGTTATTTGCAGAGTTTGAAGTGCGATGTGAGTCTCTCATAGATTGGATCGCAAGTGGCAACTTTGATATCTTGCATAACTCTTTATCAATCTTCTATAAGTTTGTATATCTATCCTTGTTCTATGATGTTTCATATTTTCGGAAGTTAGTTATTTGGCTCGCACATCGTGGTGTGTACGATGTTGCTTCTAATCTTGTAATCGCTTAAATGTATTAATGAAGCATTTGGTGCACAAAAAAGTATATGGAGATGAAGATAATATCCGCTGGAATCTAATCCCAGACGCTCGTTGCCTTTCTCATTGGATGTGATCATTGTTCCTTTCTGCAATTAAAGAAAGAAACAAAACACGGAGAGTTAGGTAGTGTCAAGAGTTGAGACTATAGGAACATTGGAAATAGGGCTGGGCAAAAAAACTGAACACGAAAATCCGAACCGATCCAAACCCGATATAAGTACCGAATGAATTTCTTTTTACGGTATTTCAGGTTATAGGTTTTACCCAAACCAAACCCGAGCTTAAATGGATATCCAAAGAACCCGAAATTTAAAATTTCAAAAAACATGTATCTTACCCAATCTAAATTTATAATATGTTTCCAAAACACATTAATATATTATTGAGTACCTACAATAATTAGTTATGATATGACTAATTTACCCAAATATTTAGTCTAATATATAGTGTCATTTGGTTAATATTAATGTTTATGACTGACATTAAATTTGAAGTTAAGTTACGAATAAACTTGTTTTGAAGTTTAAATAATGTTTAGTGTTGTTAACTTTAATTTTTGTTAGTTGTTAACTTTAATTTGTTTTTTATGTTTCATTATGTATTTCATTCATACAAGGCTTTAGTTTGTCATTAATCATGATATGTTTAGTGTTGTCACATTTTGTTCAATGAGAAATCTTATATGGTTGATAGATGAGTTTCACAATATTATTTTGAAGGAGAACAATATGGTTTGTAGAATTTAAATACACAAATTTAATAAAATGATTGAAAATATAGTGAGTTTAATTGAGTATAAATTAGTATTTCTAGAACCGATAACCCGATTAGTATCCGAAACTGAAACTATTTTGGGTTCAACCGAATCTTGTACATGTTACTAAACCCGAACCGAACCCAACTAAACCCGAACCGAATATGACCTGAATTTTTGTAATATCCGAATGAGACTGAAATTCATGAACCCGAAAACCCAAAACCCGAACCGAAACCTGATTGAGACCCCGATTGCCCAGCCATAATTGGAAATATAGTTTTTATATAATTTTACTTATGTTTTCCTACAAAACCATTCAAAAGAATTATATTTTCAAATATTTCAATTATAGTTGTGTCCGTTGATAAAAGATCATTACTTTTTTTATGTGGCATCTTAGATAAAAATAATTTTAACAATTTCAACTTTGATTTTTTTTTTGAGTTTTTCTGTTTTATGATAGCAATATTCTTTTTCCAAGAATTTAAGTATCGTAAGAACTGTTTAAAAATAATTTTAATAACAGGGGTATTAGGACATCTCTAACCCTATTCCATTTTTGAAAACATGACATCACAAATCGTCGTCGTCCCCCCTCCCCAGTGAACAAAATCAAAAGAATTTAAACATTTTTTTAAGTTAAAAGTACTACTATTATATGGAGATTTTCAACATTTGTTTCTCATCAATAATGTAAGAACGTTTTTGAAATAATTTAAACACGGAAGATTTAGGACCCAATCTTGAACTATCATCACCCAACAGCTTCTTCAAACCAGACTTCTGTTCTATAGTTAATCTCGCTGGGAATTTGATGTTGAACTTGATCCTCAAGTTACCTTTCTTTGTCTGATCTATCAGAATCGGCATACCTTCATTAGACACCCCTTCTTCATACTCTGGATGAATCACGTTCGCAACGATCTGATCTGTGTGTCAATCAGATCATCGCCTTCACGGACAAACTCCTGATGAGGCTTCTCGTCAATGGTGCAGACAACATCTCCTGGAATCTTTCCCGGACGCTTGTTGCCTTTCTCGTTGAATGTGATCATTGTTCCTTTCGTCCATCCTGGTTTCACTTACAATGGTTAGAATCTCTTCCGTTTGTGTTGCTTTTCTGCAATTTAACAAAGAAACAAAACACTGAGAGTTAGGTAGTGTCAAGAGTTGAGACTATAGGAACATTGAAAATATAATTTTCTTATATATTTTTACTTATGTTTTTCTAAAAAACCATTCAAAAAATATTATATTGTCAAATATTTCAATTATATTTGTGTTTGTTGATAAAAAGGATTATTACTTTTTTCATGTGGCATTTTAGATCAAAAATAAATTTACCAATTTCAATTTTGTTTTTTTTTTTCTGATATTTTCTCTTTTATGATAACAATATTCCTTTTTCAAGAAATTAGTGGACGTTAGTGAGAATTTGATTTATAATGATTATTAAAATTTCCAAGTTTAGTGTTATTGGTGTATTAATTCTTACGTTCTCTATAAAATATAGTATTATTGGTTTGATGATTTTATAATTCTATACAAAATTCTTAGTTTATTCAAAAACATTTTTTTTAATGATTCTAAAAATCTATTTAAGTGTCATTGAGAATATATTTTTAATATTTTAACTCACAAAACAAGATTTTGAGATTATTACATGTAACCTTTGAATTCTTAAAATCATTATAATACTTTATTTTCATTGATTTTCACAACATACAAGATTCTTTACGACTCTTTTCATACTAAACAAATCTCTCAATTTTTAAAATTGACAAAATCTATAAAAATCTAAGTTCCACTAACACTCCTTAATTACTTAATAGAGTTTCTAACTTCTTCTACTATTGTATGAAATTTTTGAAATAATCTATATTATAATGGGCATTTTTCTCACTACTCAGTGCGCCACATCAGCATTTTGTGGATCCCACCTCCGTTTTTCTAAACCTAGCGTGCCATTTTGTGAAGCCTAGCGTGTCATTTTGTGTGTTGAGTTATGTTTTGTTTGTCGTTCCTTTGGCTGCCTGATGTTTTGTGTACCGTATGGGCTTTAGGTTTTCATTTTGGCCCATGAAGTAAATATCTTTCTTCTCCGTGGAGCTTCAAAGGATTGGACTGAAAAAGTTGAATCCAAACGATCCCCATTCCAATTCCATGACGACTTACACTCTGCAGTAATTCCAATTCCATGACGACGTTACACTCTGCAGTTATAGCATTCAATAAACAAATCCCACTATCACCTCTTTAATGTATCTTCAATACATTGTTTTTGCGCTTTTTCCAGTTTATAATAGAAGCCTTCCCAGTTGCTTCTCCAATTCCTCAACTTCCTTCCGATTCATATTCACTTTTACTCTTAGACAATCTTCCCTAATGACACCAATAACACTTTGTTTGTCCCTAGTTTTTTTTTCTTTTGTTGGTCTGACTATATTGGTGTTTTGAGCAAGATCTTCTATTCAAGCGTTTTCTTCTCAGGTTAGCCCCCAAAGCTAGGATAAGTTTTAGGTGATCACTTTGTTTGTAAAAGGTATGTGACCTTACACCTTCAGTTATGGGCATATAAAAACAGACTCTCTTTTACATGTTTACCTAAACAGTTTTGCAAAGAGATTTCTTAAAACCCAATGCATTCAGCTGCAGTTGCAACCAAAGCATAAGCGAACCTGTAATATATATGGATGGTTTTCGGAGATATTTATGAAAATTGAAGTTTTAAGGGCACTTATTGAGTCAATGTGGCAAAGTACACAAGAAACTGAAGCAATGGTCTGATTCTTTTTCCAGCGCCTTTGAAAGCCAGGTTTGATGAAGGTTTAATGTGTTGAGATTGAGGCTTACAACGTACTTGCTCAATCGGTAAATAATTACCATGTTCTTAATTTTTTAGTTTCTTCTCTGTTTGGCATCTATTTAAACTTACTGAAGATTGTAGAGAAATTTTTGAAAGTAAATTATGCAAAGCCTAAGAAAGTAGATGTGTTTATTTATGAAAGTGGCAGCCGCACTGGCTCAGGTAGACACATTTAGAGCTAGCGAAAACAAGAACAAGACATTGAAAAAGTTTGCATGATTTTGTGCTTTTAACAGATCCACTTGGATGATGAGGCAAGCATGAAGGTATATGGCTGATTATTAAAGCTCGCTCAGAGACACCTGTCCTTCATAGAAGATTAGAGAACACTGATCTTATTGTGGAAATCTCTTTGCAGCCTTGGCTAGCGTTCAGCACCAGACGGTATCATCTTCTTCTCTGGCATCCTCACTCCTCTACCTGCCCTCATTGTCCCGTTTGACATCAGAGAAGCTAAAGGCCCTGTGATCCAATCTCCCATCCGAACTGAAGAAGATTTGAAGAGACTACATCCTATTGATCTTGAGAAACTTCAGTTTGTTGGAGACCGTCTCAAGACTCTGAGACAAGAGGACATGAAACATAACATGCTGCGATATTGGGTTTCGTTGAAGCACCTTAGGCAATCATGACTTATATATTTGAAGGAGGAACAGCTGAGACATATACATTGATAAAGAGTATGCGCCACACTGCACCAAATGTACTGAGAGCTCCACTGCACTAAATGTATTGAGAGCTTTGTCATCTCATTTAACCAAAGTCATTATGGAGTACGTTTTGTACCAATAACCCTACATTGAAGAGGTGTTGTGTAAAGTGCTTTCTATCTTGAGAACTTGGATAGATTCTCTTTTGGTGTTTTAACGTTTTGTTTTTCTCATTTGGGCTTGCCAGATCATTCATTGTGTAAGTAGAAGAAGTCCAGACACGCCTATAGTTTTCTACATAAATGGAAAAGGTGTCCTTGAGCGGATGAAAGGAACCAAAGCGATGTTATTGAACTTGACTGGAGTGTAGATATATGGCTGATGTAAGGATACGATTGGGGAGCGATGTTATAGTCCCAGGAAATGTTGATCCGGCTTACGTATTCTCTCTGCTTCCTTTTTCAACTGAAGAGATTCATAGGTGGGTAGTTAACTTTATTGAACTAAAGGTAGTAACTGAAGAAACTTAAAGAAAAATGTATGTTTCCGTGTTAAAGTGGTTGGACCAGAAGGTCATATTCTCAACCAAGGACATAGTGTTTTGGTAGGGGCGCTAGAGGAAGCCATGGCTCATTTCTTCGAAACTGCGAAGAGCTTGAAAAAGCTGGACAAATATATTTTACTATCTGTATATAT